AGAAGGAATAAATCAGGCACCCAGCCCTTGCTTATCAATAGAGACCGAGTGGAGCAAGTGGCCAGTTTTAAGTTTCTGGGTGTTATAAAAGAGGAGCTGACCTGGGGCGCTCACATTGCAGCACTGGTCAAAAGGGCCCAGCAGAGATTATACTACCTGAGACTTCTCAGGAAACAGAAACTGAATGAAAAACTGCTGGTGACCTTCTACCACTGCACCATAGAGAGTATTTTAACTTACTGCATCTGTGTGTGGTTTGACAATTGCACAGTGGCACATAGGACAGTGCTCCAGAGGGTCAACGTCATTGCCAAAAGGAGCATTGGTTGCCCTCTCCCCTCTTTGGAAGAGCTCTATGGTTTCCACTGCCTTAAGAGAGTTCAAAACATTTGTAAAGACCTATCTCATCCTAGGCATCCTTTTTTTTTAACTATTACCATCTGGCAAACGGTACAGGATAATAAAAACAAGGAAAAATAGGCTGAAAAACAGCTTATAGCCCAAGCATAAAGTATATTGAATTCTACTGTATAATGTAATGCTAATGTAGTATCAGGGGTTTTCAATTCAATTGTATAGAATGTGAAGGATGAGGGCTTTTGTTTTATTTTTTTATAGTTTTCTTATTTATGATGTATACTGAAGATGGCATTTAATTTCATTGTATGAAGTTCAATGACAATAAAGTAAACTAATGGTTGTCTCCAAGACACCTAGAGGCTTAATGCAATTTGCCTACAATGACATAGCAGAATGGTCAATAGCCACTGGCTAGCCCCTTACTTTGTTGGTGTAAAGAGGCAATCTGGTTGGGGGGACAAATCAATAATATCTTCTCCTATGGGGGCAAAAACAATCCTTGCCATCTGGGATGCAGCTGTGACAAACGTTACCTTGGACAATCCATATTTCTTTATCATAATTTATGTTGAGCAGTATAATTGAAATGTATGGAATATTATATGGATATATTTTTCATTGAGAAAGATGCAATGTTAATGGCACATTCCAAAGGTAAACCTCCTTGTTTTAAGAAGAAGAATTGTGATTTCTCTTGCAACATGTTGAATTATTTTTCTAAGTTTCCTTATGTTCTCGGCACAGATGTTGTTACTTAGCCCGGTAATGAAACATCTTC